GGATGGAGCCGTAGCCTCAGGGCCCCCCCGCCCCGGGTTTTGGAAAGCCGGGAAGCCCCATCTGCAAGCAGGGCGATGGCTTCTTGGCATCGCCAAAATCAGGGCTGGCTGATTAGCCAGCGCTCAGCTTGTTGCCTGAAATATGTTCCCATAAAATGTTCATCGGGGTTTGTTTTACAGCCGTGTAAAATCAGAGCTGTGTTTTGCAAACATGAAAGGGAGGGCTAAATATGTCGAGTTTTGATCTTGGCGAGATATTTATATAGCCCTTATCTGAGCGGTTTGCTTTAGCTTCTGTATTGCCTCCCATGGCACCTCCTGCGATGGGAAAAAAGGGGAAAATTCAAGTGTAGCTCCTTATTTGAAGCTGCTTATGGGTTTTCTGGGCTTTGCCCCAAAAGGGCAGGTTTGCTGGGGCTGGGGTTTGCAGGGACCTGCCCTTAGGGATATGCCCATGCTTGGCTTCTCCAAGCCAAAAAACAGCTTGGAAAAAGCCCTTTACAGTTATCATTTTTATCGGCAGGCTGAATTTCTCCCCCCTCTCCTTGCCCAGGGACCCCACGAGGCTTTTTCTCGCAGGGATTTTCCCAGCTTGCATGCAACCCCTGGGGCAGCTCCTCCTTGCAAGCCTGGAAAAGCTCATTCTTCTCCTTTCCGTAGGAAAATAACAGCGTGCGGCTTTTGCCGGGGCGATGGGAGCCACCTGCTTGTGTCTCTGCTGAGTTCATTTAAAGAGCAGAGGTGTTGGGTGGGAGTTTTTGTGCTGGGGCGGCGAGGGGAAAGGAGGAGCATCCTCTGCGCCACGTGGGAGCAAAACCTGCTCTAATTCACCTGCAAATGCACGGCACTGACCTGGAAAGCCATCCCACACTCCCTCCATCCTTTTCTACTCACGCTTTTCCCCGGCAAATCTTGCATTCAGCTCAGGGTCACCTCTTTTTAAATCCTTTCCTGCTACTTCTATGAATTCTGCGTTTCCACGAAGCCTGTGCTTTGCTCTCTGGATAAATCCAGGCCATGCAGGTGGCTGAAGCCCCTTCCGAAAATCCTCCTAACCGTGCTAATTGCCCTTCCCCAATTAGCCCAATTTTTCTTTTCCCACCAGCTGCTTTTTACAGCGGTTTAGAGCTGCCGGTTTGAATCCAGAGCTCTTTAAAAAGCTTTAACACAGGCAAGGATCTTCCCTTCACCTTGTATCGTTCCCAGCTAATAAGCATCTTTGGGGTGCGGAGATATTCTGGGGCTTCATTTCTCCGCAGAAACCCTCATGCGTTAAATCGTGTCGGGTCCCTGGCTGTCCCTGAGCATTTCTGAAGCTCCCCCGTATGTCAGAGCTCAGTTTTGGGGTATTTACCTCCCAAATTCCCTTGCTGCAACAAGTAATCCCTCGGTATTAATAGCACCCCCCAAAAAAAACCCCTAGGGATGCTGTAGGGTTTGGGTTGGGGATGTTGCTCCCCTCTCTGCTGAAATAAGGACTTGTGTTACAGGTCTTGGGTTTGCTTCTAAGAGCCTTGAGCTAAGCAGCCCCTGCTAAATGCAGCGTGCTACGTACTCCAGGCTAAACGCCATATGCAATATGCTAAATGCTGTATACATCACAGCCCTCGTACACGCCCTGTGGCCTCTCTGATGCCTCCAAGCGCTTCCAGGCAAGGTCTACCCTGGCGCTGCGTCCAGGCTTGAGCAACGTGGAGATGCAGCTCAGCTCCTGCATCGATGGATTTTTATGGAGCATCCGGACGTGACCTTAACCACGCTCTCACGAGCCTCCCCTTCCCGTGGAGACGTTTCAGGGCTTCACGTGCCCCACCTGCCTTTTTTTTTTTTCTTTTTTCTGGTTGTCATTGCAGAAATGGTCTTTTCTGTCACAAGATCCTTGGCTGGGAATGCTTGACAGGGGCTTGCCTTGCTCCTTTTGCCAAGTGCTTTAAGATCTGCCGATGAAAAGCTCTCCACAGTGTCGGGATAAGAGCAGGTTTTATTTAATCCAGATCCATATTTAATCCAGGTTTATTTAATCTCTAATGGTTTAGGAATTAGGCTGAGACAGGGGCAAGGATCATGCTAAGGCTCCTGCAGTGCTTGCCAAGGGAAAAGCCTTCCAGGGAGGTGGGGATGGAGCCGAAACCTCACCCTGGCAAGGATGGAGATGGCTGGGACCTACCTGGGACCATGTGCAGGGAGGACAAAGCATCACCCCCTTGGGACCCGCCGGTGATGGGGTTTCCACAGTGCTTTGGGTTTTTTCCCCCTATTTTCTACGATGAAACCTTGATTGCAGTGATGCCAAGTCAGTCTCTTTGCTCAGACATTGGCGAAGAGGAAAATCAAGGGAAGGAGCCCCCAAACCCTCGTTTTTCAGAAGCAGGAGCTGCAGCTCTCGCCTTGCAAACTTCCCGGCTCGTAAATCCCGCTGCAAAGAGCCGAGGAGGGAGGATGCAGCTGATGTGGCTGGTTTTGTTCCCTTGCCAAGCTGCTCTCTTTGCCCTTTTGTTTGCTTTCTGCTGAGGCACTTGGAGTACTGATGGGCTTGTTTTTAACTAATGACTGGCGCTCACATTCTCTCTCCCCGGCATTATCTCCTTCCCACTTTTCCTGCCTCCTTCCTAAAATAAACCGTCAATCACGGGCTTGTTTTCAGTGCTGTTGGGATGGGATTTGCTGCCGTGAGTGCCGAGGGCAGGAGGGCTCATAGCAAAGCACAGGGACAACAACCCACCGCTGTGGTTCCCTCTGTGGAGTTATTATACAAACTGAGGTTTTTAGGGTCTGCAGAGCCATTTGGACCGGGGAAGGTGCGTGCCCCGCTTGTTTTCACTCTCAGCCGGCTGAGAAACGGGGTTCACCCCCCCCCAAACACCGTGTCAGAGCCCTCCCCGATGTGCTTATCTAGTGGGGTGACCTCGAGCCCTTTTGGGGTGTCCCTCCTTGCTGCGTCCCTGCGATCTTGCAGGGTCAACACCCGGGGTACGCGTGTGTTTGCAGCAGGAGCCAGTGCTGGAGCCGGTCCTTTGAAATGCAATTAGCGCTTGTATTAGCTAGAAGCAAAACTATCATTAATAGGGTCCTGACAGCCCCGGCGAGGGAGGTTTGAAGCAGGGAAGGAGGTTCTCCCAGCGCTGGGCTGAATCCAAAGCAAAGCCCTGCTTGCCGGAGGCTGCCCGGAGGGGAATTTGGCTGCTGGCTTCGCAGGGGTTTAGCCCTCAACTCCAAGGAGGTTTGGGGAACATCAGGAAAATACACATTTCCCAGCGGAGGGACGTTGCAACCCAATGGAAAGGCGATGTGGTGGTGCAAACGGGGCATCGCCGAGCCCTTCCCGGCCTCCAGACCACACATTTCATCTCTTCTGGTGCCGGGAGCGCATCTCCATCTGCAAAACCCTTCTTGGCTGAAAGACTGGGTGTCTCGGAGGCATTGCAAAACGGAGCAGGGGAGGCAGGGATTTAGTTCCTCTCCTGCCCAAATGTCTGTATAATTTCCCATTTATGTAATGCCTTCAACAATATAGTTCGGAGGGGAGGGCGAAGGGGATTAGCAGCAGTTATTCCAGCCCCGCTCCGCCTCCCTGTGCTTGTAGATAAATCCTGATGCTGCATCCTATCTGCCCAGGACAGGGAAAACGGGAGCCGGAGACCCCTCTGCCGGGATGCGCCTGCTTTGCACGTGTATTTATACCTATTTGTTTCTTTGCAAAGGGATCTGCAGCGACGGGGATGGGCTGGAGTGACGCAGAGATGCTCCGTGATGGGGGCTTGGTTCTCCCCAAGGGAGCAAAGTGATGGGTGGGATGCAGGGTGGCGGGGGGGACAGGCTGGGTGGCACTTGGGTTTGCTTCTAGGTGGACTGCCATCCGTGGAAATGCTTTTTTTGGTGGGTGGGTTTCATGGATAACCCTGGATTTGCTGGTAGCAACGTTGCTTTTGATGGTGCTCGTGCTGGGGAGGACACCCGGCTGGTCCCTAAGGTGTGTTTTGCCCTTGGTGCTGATAATGCTTGAAAAGAGGAAGGTGCTGAAAGGGGTGATTTTGGCTGGCAGTTGTCATCGTCACGGGCACCGAGCGATGGCTTTGGGAGCTGCTGGCTCATTGCAGCAGGGCTGAGATGGGCCGTAACAGCAGGAGGGGGAGAAAAAGGCTCCAGGTCAGCAGGTATCACCAAAAGCACCACCCCGATTTTGAGGTGGTGGGGATGTGGGCAAGCTGAGCTCCCTGTACCCCGGCGAGCCCTCTCGTAGAGATGAGCACCTTCTTCATGACAAGCCGGCTGTTGTCTGCGTCTTTCCTTCTGCAAAAAAAAAAAAATCCTTGGTTTGGTTGGAAATGGTCTGGAAGGGGATTTTAATGGCCAAGTGATTTAGGTTTCCGTCCCAGCTTTGCACCACCTTTGAACCTGGAGAGCAGGGTTCAAAGATTGGCTCTAAGTCATGCTCAGGAAGATTTCCAGCCCAAATTCAGGCAGTCCTTTGATGTACCATGATCTGAGATACTTTTTCTGCTCCATCAAGCATCTTTCTTGTATTTTTAAGCCCAGAAAGGCCCTGTTCCCTGCAAATTTAGCTTCTGCACAAGCTATTAAAAGAGGGGGACCACACGCACAGGCTTTGTCATCCCACCCCCATGCCCCACTTGCAGCACCGAGAGCATCCCAAGAGCCGGTGGTTGAATTTGGCTGGTTTTCTTCCTTTTCTCCTAAAGATATACCTGCCAAGTTGTATGGCAGAAGGAGGTGGTGACTCAGAGCAGGGTGGGAGGATTTGGGCAACTTTGCCTTGCCCGACACCCCAAAATATATACAGCAAGCTGCTGGGGAGCGGAGTTTTTCCATGTAGGATGAATTACAGACTAGATCTGCTGATGGGGAAGCACCATATAATGG